CACACACATATATCAAAACAAAATAAAGAAGAAAAAAAAGTGTTTGGAGAATCACATCAACATACAACCACAAATAAAACAAATATAAAAAATATCATAATGTCTTGCAGACAACGAACCATTACAGTCCACACAAAGAAGCCAGATTAAGTAGTACAAACAAGGGACCTGAATACAGACCCAGAAAACATACCTGATACCTGAGGAAGCAGCAGCATTGGAACTTCCTGATAAGGAATTAGAAAAAATATTTAGATCTTTGTCTTCACTCTCACTAATTCTGTCTTCTATTGATTTGATTCTACCCCTCTGTCTGTGGAATGTGTTATCTATTTTTGCCATCTTAGTATTAACCTTCTGGATTTGTATTTGTTGGTTTTGTACCATTTCTAGTATTTGTTTATTTTTTCATTTTGTTCTTGTATTGTTTTCCTAAATTGTTCTAGCATTTTGTCTGTGTTTTCCTCATTCTTGTCAGTGTTTCTTTGATCTGTCTCTCAATCCACTGAAGTAATAAATGAGAAGAAAAATTTTTATATTAAAAAAAGAAGACAAAAGGAAGATAATGCAAAAGGGAGAAAAAGAAGTCCACAATTATCTGGGCATGGGGGAATAAAAGAACGGAGCAAAAGTAAACTTGTAAAGAAAAAATGGGAAAACTGCAAAAGGAAAAAAGGGATGGGAAGAAGAAGAAGAAAGAAGAAAAGAAAGAAAAAGAAGGGAACCAGGAAAAGGGAACAGGAAAAAAAAAAAAAAACAGAGAAGGTAAAGAGAAATCAATAAACAAAAGGAAGAAAGAGGAAGAAAAAAAGAGTAATTTAAAAATAAAGAAAAACAAAACTTTGTGGGGTGGGGATGGGCACCCAGGCTCTGTCAGGGCACAGATCAGGATGGGATTCCTGCTGGTCAAGAAGGTGTGTGCTGGCGAGGGATGGCCACACCTGTGTTCACCAACAGAATGTGAGGTATAAGAATAACAAGGGGAATATTGCACCTTTCTAGGCATCAGCCTCCAGTGTGGTTGCCCATGCTGTCCTCGGCAAGCAGAGCCTATTCTTAGGTTGCTGCTCAGATCAGAATGCAACTTGCAAATATTCAAGATGGCTGCACCCTCAGGACAGCCAGCAGTACCTAGCTCTGTTTGTCTCCTTCTTCTGTTTTCCTTTCTAGTTGTCACCCACCATTGTAGTCTTTTCATGCTTTGTCATTGAATGCCCATGCATTCCTTGATGAGCAGAGCCAATTCTTAGATTGCTACTGGATTGGTATGCTGCTTGTAAACATTTGTCTCCTTATTCATGTTTTCATTCAGGTTCTTCTAGTAGTAGTAGTTGGTATTTAATCCAGTTCCTTATCTTTCCCTTAAAGCTCAGAGTTCAAGTATTATCTTCAGTTATCTGTTTTAATTGGTTTCTCATTTCTTTATTTCAGAGGGTCTGTATAGCTTTTCTGCCTACTCCACCATCTTGCCAGAAGTCTGTCCTTTTATTCTTAACCTATTTGTGTCTTCATATTTAAAGTGAGCTTCTTATAGGCAGGGAGCTCTGGTGGCATAGAGCCTAAGGCATTTGACTGCTAACCAGAAGGCTAGTGCTTCCAACGCACCAGCCACTCCTTGGAAGGAAGATTGGGCAATCTATTTCCATACAGATAACACCTTGGAAACCCAAGGAAAGGTCACTATGAATCGGGACAGACTCAATGACAGTGAGTTTGGTTTTTGTATTTTTCTTATAGGCAATCTGATGATCTCTGTCTCCTTACTGGGGTGTTTAGAACCATTCACATTTAATGTAATTAGTGATATTTTGGGAAGTAAATCTATTATCTTACCACTATTTGATTTCTATATCTACCATCTCTTCTTTATCCCAAGGCGCCCTGGTGGTATACCACCAGGTTAAGCACTCAGCTTTTAACCAAAAAGTCAGCAGTTCAAACCCATCCAGTGGCTCTGGGCGACAAAGATCTAGCAATCTACTCCCATGAAGATTACACTCCAGAAAACCCTAAGGGCAATTTTATTCTGTTACAAGGGTCACCATGAGTAGCAACCAACTTGATGACACTTAACAACTCTTTATTACATTTTCCGCCTTCTTTTGGATTATGCTTCACGATTCCATTTCATCTCTTTTGTTGATGAATTCTGTGTTATTTTAGTGTCCATCATGATTGATTTTCATGTTTTGTCATTGAAAAATTAATGTAATATAAGATTTAAATCTAAAACATGAATAACCTAAAAAGAGAGTAAGTAGAATTCAGTAATCACCAAGTTGTACCTTTAAAATTTTTTTATGCAATAAATAATTTTTAAAGGAAAAATACATGAGTATGACTTCTATTAAAAGATCTGACTTAAGATTCTTGGCTCTCGAATTCTTGAAAAAATTAGTTGCTCCCAAACTTCTGTTTCTCAAGAAATACCTTTTCCCCAGATTCTAAGAATTTAATTCTTCTACATTTAAAACAAAAAAAAATCTCCAAAATATAGTCTTTACTTTCTATCAAAAGTTTTTCAAGAAGGAAGATTTTATGCAAAACACCGCATAACGTGAATGAACTTGGAGGACATTATGCTGAGTGAAATAAGTCAATCACAAAAGGACAAATATTGTTTTAGGACGTTATTGTAAAAGTTAAGGAAAAGTTTATCTATTGAAGGACATTTTCTTTGTTGGTTACCAGGGGTGGGAGGGGAGGGCAGGGAACACTGTTAGGTATATAGAGATAAGTATTAATTTGGGTGTAGAGAAGGGCAATGTACCAAATGTGAGTGACCAATATGGCAGCATTGAGGATGAGAAAGACAGAGAGAGGTACATGGGAGGTACAGACAACAAATATGAACCCTTTTGCACATACAGTACTGCATTGTCAGTGAAGGCAAATATGGGTATATGGATGGATAGATGGGTGGACAGGCTGAATAATTAGGTATGTCTATGAAATGGGAAGTGTATCCAAGAACATATATAGGGTTGGCAGACAATGGTCCTATAAGTTTATGTGAATGATCAGAATTCCCAGGTGTATAGTAGAGCTGACAAGGGGCAAGGTTGTGGTCACTGTTTGGTCACAGCCAGCTACACAGAGGGACTGAGTAGTTGAACCTGCGGGCTTGGGACCATAGTCACAGGGACATCAAGCTCAATTGGCATAACAAACTATACAAAACATTGTTCTACCTCTTACTTTGGCGAGTAGCAACTGGGATCTTAAAAGCTAGCAAGCTGCCCTCTAGATGCAACGATGGGTCTCTCCTCGTCCAGAGCAAAGAAGAATGAAGAAAACCAAAATTCATGGAAACAATTAGTCCTAGCAACTGGTACACCATCCGAGCTGCAGCCTATTCAACTATGAGACCAGAAGAACTAGATGGTGCCTGGCTACCACTGTCATCCACTTGGAAGGGGATCTATGTAGAAGATCCTTGATAGAGAGGGAGAACAATGCGGAACAAAACTCAAAATCATTTGGAGAAAAAAAAAAAGGTGGGGACCAGGTTTGCTGGTCCAATAGAGCCTGGTGGAACCACTGAGACTATGGGCCCTAGCTGCCCTTCAGGTCTGGAATTGAACCCACACCTGTGGTTTCCAGCCAAACAAAATACAGGCATGTGAGTTAAACACTTACCTCAAGTAGATACACAGCTTGGAGAGAACAATCATGGGAGAAAGAAGGGCTGCTTATGCACAAGGAGACAGCTCAGGGGGCAGGAGTATATGGAGGGATGGACACTGGGAAGAGGTAACTATGGAGAGGAAGTGGGAGGGGAGCTGTTGCATTGTGGTAAACTGTGGTCAATGACATGAGACAAAGTATATGTGAACTGCTGCATGGAAAGTGAATTTGCTCTCTAAATCTTCACCCAAATCACAATTTAAAAAAAAAAAAAAAAAAAAAGAAGGAAGATTTTAGTGATGAAAAGTTACCACAGATGAAAAAAAAAATATATCTATTTGGCCATTCTTTGAACTTGAATTAACTGCCTTCTAAACTGTTTATCTGGGGTTTATTTTTTTTTAACCTGATATTTGGGCATTTACATTATACAGACAATTCCAAATTTATATCTCTAATTCAGATATATCTTCTGATATCCTGACCTCTACTTTCAACTGCCCTATTTAATTACACACCCTGGAAATTTCAGAAGCAACTTTAATGTAGAGTGTCAAAAATCAAATTAACTTCAGCTTCAAATTTACATACTCTGTTTAAGAAGCTATAAAGTGTCCCCTAAATGAGGGTTGCCGCCTAGCTTTTTGGTTTATCAACTAAGCTGAAAAAAGTACCTTCTTATCACACTTAACACACACAAACGAGAACTCAGACCAGAGGCCCCACTATAGACAAAGAATAGAGAAGACTAAAATCCTAGGTAAATAATCAAAAAGATTCTTTATTTGAATGGAGATTGTATCATCATTCATCCAAAATAATTTATAATAGTTAACTAACTCTTAAATATTGTCTTATAAATGATGCCTCTGAAATTAAAAGTAATGTAGGTTCAGTTTTTTAAAAATTATTTAGAACAAACTAAACCAGTAACAATAGAAGCAAAAAAAAAAAAAAAAAAAAATTAGCTATCTCCTATGAAGTCTTCCAAGAAAGAAATCATGACAAGTTTCTGATCAGTTAAAAAGATCCCATCATTAAAAGGGATTAAAAAGACGCAAAAATGAATTTGAATAAAAAGTCAATTTCCTAAGTTTTGTTCTTTTGTACAAAACCAAGTATTCTGAGTTAAAATTACAATCTGGTTTCCCTCTACAGGTAAGATAGTCCTTAACAAGCAGCTCAGAAACAACATTAATGTCTTGGTGAAATGTACTTCTGCATCTACTGATGGTCACATGGTGGCAGGCATCTCCACAGGAGGACAGGAAAATGCTTATCCTCTACAAGACGCTTCTACCCAATCAGGAGATCAGTTCAGGATTTTCCTTGTACCGGCAATATTCTGTCTAAAGTATCACATTTTTCAGAGGCAGCCTCCATCTTAACCTTCCAAATGCCACTGTTGTAAGGAGGAGCCATCACAGATTGCCATAGCAACATAGCCTTTCTGGCTCAATGGATCAATCACTTTCAGGCACTGTCCAACTGACACCTGGTACAGCCGACTATTCTTCTGGAAAAAAGAAAAGGTTGCAAGAAAAAATACCACCAGTTATTTGCTTTTACTTAAAAATCATAATGGCAGAAGATGGTGAAGAAAATACAGATATCTAGAAGGGATGTGGCTAACTCGACGGTACATAACAAAACAAAAAAAAAAAGAAGGAATGTGGAGCATTTAAGAATCTCCCTTCAAAATCAGAAATAACTCTAGGATAGACTACAGCTCTTCCCTGAGTTGAAGCAGAGTTCAGGTACAGTGCTCCCTCACACAGTCTTGTTTATCTTTTATAGCTTTCCAACACTACTAAGCAAGCTTCTCACCCCAAAGGTCCATTGCTGGGATCCTCCTGATCCATGACATTTCATGAGTCGTGGTGGGTCTGATGAACGAGTTTCTGACATATCCAGGCAAAGGAGATTATTTAAAACCAATTCATGCTCTTCATTATAAACCCAAACCTAGAGAAAAATAGATTTAATAAGAACCCAAGTTTAGTCTTAGATATAGAAACTCAGGATTGTGTAACATTTCATGTGCGTGGAAAATCAGTATGTTTTGTATGGTCTCGTAAAACAGAAACAGACCAGGGACAAGAGTTACCCATAGGCAGATATCAATTTAATAATCTGAAAATGAAGTGCATTAACACAGGATAAAGTGAGGTCCTACTCAGGGAAGAAACCTAAGTAGTGGATGGATTTTGTAAATTAAATTTACCTAATTGGTTGAATTTAATTGATCATCTGGATCTAACTGTACATTCTAGGATTCTATGATTAGGTAATTCTTTTAATGTCTACACTGAGTAAGAATTACAGGAATCCAACTAGGCTGCTGATTTGTCTTCCTGAGACAGAAAATACACAAGGGTATTACTTTCATATTTCCCTTATCTGTTGGAGGAGGGTGTAATGGTGTGTTTAGGCTGTTATATCACATTATCCTGCAGAATATTACACTTTAATCCCAATCATAACAACATTTCAAATGAGATGTATGATGTAAACTTGATTGCACAGAAGCAGGACTTTCCTTAGTTTTGAAAATTACCTTTCAGGATAGTCTTCTTAAGGATCTGAGTATTTTCAGAATCAAAGGTCTTCTCTCAATGAAGTGCACAATGGTGATGAATAATTTCCTTTCTAATATCTACCATCATTAAATCTAAAAGGAACAGTTTTTTCTATCCTATGAAGTATGTTACTCATTCCGTCCTCTAAGGCCCAAGATATGTGCTGTATCCTACAAATATGAAGGTAAGATTCTCTATCAGTGCTATATATATATAATTTTCTGTGACAATGGAAATGTCTTATGTCTGCAATGTCCAATATGGTAGACACAAGTCATATATGGTTAATGAGCACTTTGAAATGGGCTAGAATGACCAAGGAAGTAAATTTTTATTTTATCTAATTCTAATTAATTTAAATAGCCACATGTGGTTAGTAGCTATGGTACTAGTGCAATTCTATATGGTCACAATGGTATGGACAGGATAATACAACTCCATCACCCAAATTTCTTATATTTTCTAGATCAATTAAAAATTCAGCTATCCCGGAAAAAAAAAAAAATTTAGCTATCTTATCCCAGTGTGTTCTACAGCAATGAAATTTCACAATTTTAATACTTAAATGTACATCACTGACACCTCTCTCCATATCCGAAATGGCACAAAAATCCATTTTTAAACCATATTTTCAAATATATCACTTTACATGTGGAAAATATCACTATGCATGAACTCTTCTAGAAATAAAATTTTATATGAAATTTCAAAATATATTATTTCCACCAAAAAACCCAAGTGTTTCTTTCATTCTTAAGTTAAACCAATCCACCACTATATGGAAATAAAACTGACTTATGACTTGTTATCGGCATTGTAATCTTGACTCACTACAACTATGAGATTAGATCACTGTTAGGTTATACTATTTCAGAAGATAAAATCAGCTTGAAATTACAGTTCCATATTGAAATAACGTTTTTTTGACCATTTTTAAGGTCACTTCAAATACTAATATCACTGAAAAGACATATATACACTGAGATTAAATTATGTAAATAACATGAATCAGAGTTCTGTTATGGCTTCCTTTCCTTAACCACTAATAATCAGGAAAATTTGGTTGCACAGAAAACTCTACAAAAAATACTCTGATTCCTTAAAGCAGATTTAATGTTCCTGTCCAGGAAGAAGATGCACTTCTTTTGTCCTTTCTAACAAATCCTTAAAGCCTGTAAGTAACAATGCACATTCACTCTCTATGACATTGGAAAGTACACATAATGCTCTGGAAAATGGAAATGCTACAGTGACAAACAACCTGCAGAGGTAGGAAGCCTCTACAAAGGAGGTGAAAGAGTTGTACTAGTCGATCTCTAGGGCCATTCCAAACTGAAACGTAATTTCAGAAAAGTCTGAGTATTGAACATCTTGATGTCAGCTTCTTAGCCCCTGAACAATGAATCCCTGAGTGCTGGCCCTGTGCCCGCAGCCAGCACATACCTGATTCGGGTCACTGTAGTCACATACTTTCAGCACCACCAGGCCTCCTTTCTGACTTGGGCGGCCCTGGGCCACCAGACATTTGTTGGTCTGGGGATGATAGAGCTGCAAAAGGAGAGAGGGCTCTTGACAACTTGGAATGCAGAGAAACACCAATGTCAGAAGAAGCTTTAGAGCGCTTAAAGAGGAGAGTTTGAATGAAATGAGACTATGTTAATCCACAGGTACGAATGTCAAGGGTCATAAAAAGATAAGCATTTTTAATTTCTAAATTCTGGCCCCAGCACATGGGAAGATCAAAGTAGGTAGTGCCAGGTTGTAGGCAGTTTTACACTGTATGCATGCAGCAAGCAGAGTAAAGTAGAAACTCTACATAAAGATACAAGCTTACCAACTTACTGTGGGGATGAAGGAAATTAAATCATCATCCCTGCCCTAAAGATCCTTAAAATGAAATTGAAGAATAGGAACAAAGGGTATAAACAAGACCCAACAAAATAAGATAATACAAAATTAAATGTAATATACATGCTAAAGTAGGAACATTTGTAGAGTATCAATATCATGGGAATTCACAGGGGAGATAACTAAAAAAACCGCACATATTTAGTATATTATGATATTATTGTTGTTATGTGCCGTCGAGTTGGACCCGATTCATAGTGACCTCTCCTTAGGTTTCTGAGGCAGTATCACTACGGAAGTAGATTGCCCCATCTTCCTTCCGAGGAGTGGCTGGTGGATTTGAACCTCCAGCCTCTGGGTAGCAGTCAAATGCCTTAGGCACTACGCCACCAGAGCTCCCATATTATGATATACATATTAGAAAAATCTTCCCTAGGCTCTTTTTAAAAAGTGAGCCTGACATCATTACTTTCTGCCTCCTCCCTGACCACCCCCCTTCAAGAAACCCTTTAGTGGCTTCCCATTGCTCTTAGAAACAAAGCAAAACTCCTTACGATGGCCCACAAGGTTCTGCAGCTTCTCACAGCCCTCCTCCCACTGGGCCCCATGGATAGACAAGCCTACCTACCCCTGCAGGGAGCAGACTCTGTCTGCACCACCAACCTCTTGCTGGAAGGATCTTACTCCTCCCTCACACACTGGTTAAAGAACACGTTCAGGAAATCCTCCTTAACCAGGCAAATCTCCCTGTACTATGTACAGTATACTGTACAGAAACTTATATTTTTAGAATGTATGGCCCTGTATTCCTCTCTACTAGAAACAGCACTTGACACAAGTGCAATTTTTCTTGGTTTATTTAATTAATTTTTGTTACCATCCCCCTTAAGTCAGGGACAGTCCATTTTCACTCACTGTGACCCAAGCACACAGCAGTGCCTCATTTGTAGCCGGCATTCAATAGAAACTCATTGGATAAATGAATGACTGTCAATAATGATAATAGTACCAACAACAATTATATATATTAGTGATGGCAGGGATGGTGTTAAAAGAAGAAAAACAGTAACCTGAGTTGAGTAGTACAACAGAAATGTAGGGACAAAATTTCAATAGGTAAAGTATGAAAGGAGAAAATCAGGGAGCTGAGGAAAAAATACTATAAAACATAAAAGAAAGGGGTAAAGCAATAACAAAGGGAAGCAAAGTGAATCTAATAAGGGGTAAAAGATTAGTTTAAGTGTTAAATGAGATTAGATACACAAGGGAAGAATAATAAAAGATTTCAACTACGTAGACACATTGGTGTTATTTTTACTTAATAAGAAAATATTTAATAATAAACACCTTGATTTTGTTTGTTTGTTTGTTTTTTTAAAATATCTTACAGGATAAGGGAGAACAGGAAGGGGAAAACTCTAGGCTTAATTCTATCTTCCTTTCTCCCAGGGTGAAAGAACCCTAGAAGAAGTGCCTTCTTTGTGGAATAAAAGAAAGGCAAACTGGGCAACAACGATATTTACCCTTAACTTTCTGAAAGCAAGTTCTAAAAACTCAGGAAAAGACAATTTATAGCTAGAAGCCCAAATATTTAAGTGTCATTACATAACTGTGAATAAATTTTATTAGAAACAAAAGAGAGACATCTAAGAAACATGTGGTTCGACAACATGCTGACAAGCTCAGAGAGTAGCCTGGAATTCAGGATGTCCATAATGCCTAAGGCACTTGACTGCTCACCAGAAGGCTGGCAGTTCAAACCCACCAGCCACTACTCGGAAGGAAGGTTGGGCAATCCTACTTCTGCCTCGGAAACCCAAGGAGGGGTCGCTATGAGTTGGGGCCAACTCGACGGCAAACAACAACAACAACAACAACTTCAACACAGGCCCTGCCTCTGAACTATGAACAGTGTACAGATACTTTATTTCCCCTTTTTGGACTGCCCTCTGACAAATGAATTTTACACTTTTACATTTCCTTTATAGTTATCCCCAGCTTTTTGAACATGCACTTTATGTCACTTTACTTTTACAAAAGATCTACATAAATACCTGTATCACTAACCAAAAGAAACCTGAAGAGGAATTTTGCTTTTATGAAAAAAGACGAAAGCAAAACTAGTGTTCAGTGTTTGTTTTGCAGTGAGCCATTAAAGAAGCATCATGCACCCTGAGTAGTTGAGAGTGGCGCCGCCGAGCTCCTTCCCCTGGAACAATGCTCAACATCTCAGCATGAAGCCACCACAGCTTTGAACTGTGCCTGTGAACACTATTAAGTTAGTGTTATTTTAGGTTTTACGTGCTATTTGGTATGATTTGATAGGTTATTTTTGAGTCTGGGAATGCTCAGAAATTTTTCCCATATAAATTAATGGTACATAACAACAACCACAACAAAATAATGGTAATTGCTTCTTTGTTTTATACCATTTTGGTTTATGAAATGTTTCATAGGAACACTTTACTTTTGGATGGTGGTGGAAACCTGTCTTTATGTGTATATTCATGTGTATATTTACTGTCTTGGAAGGTGTCATATAACTTATCTTTATAGAAGTTATGTTTCCTTTAAAGTATAAATGGTCTTAATAGTAACAACAAAGATATTAAAATTTCTGAGGTCTTATGCCTGAGTAGAGGAAGTTCTCATAAAAAGAACAACATAGGGCATGCTATAGTCTATCATAAAATACTAAGTCTAAAATGTCATTATTATAGCTTATGTTCATATCAAAGTACCCCATATCCCATATCCCACAACTTTTAAGAAACATTTTGATAAGATTAATTTCTTACCCTCCCACGTTGAAGGACTTTGGGGCGTTTGGGCCCTCTATTAATAAAAATGGGTTGCTGTGGTTTGGCATTGGGCCCAGATATCTGCATCTCTGGGTAAATATTATCCAAATACCATTTAAATGATTTACAACCCAACTTCCTCCTCAATTCAACACGTTCACTAATATTCCCATAGCTTCTAGTCTTCAGATCAGGTCTTAAGGAAAAATACTGCTCCTGAGTTTAAAAAAAAAAAAAAAGGGAAAGAGAATGGATATTTTGTTAAAAATGAGTTTTAAGCAATTATTTGCCAGGTTTAAAGAACAACTGAAAACAATGAATTATGAACAAAAGTAATTCCATGCTGGTGTTTATTTGATGTTACCAGAAAATGCCAATGAAGAATTTTCACACAATTAGGTGCATGACTAACTGCCAATGATAAGACATCTTAAACTGTAAAATACATCCCAGTTTCAGAATGTCACCATGTATCAAAACATGCACCTAAGACTCAATGAAACAGGCTAACAGATGAAATAGCAGTTTCAGAATTTTTGTTATCAGGATTCTACATTCATAAAAATTACTGAAGACCCCAAAGAGGTTTTGTTTGTGAGCTTTATCTATAGATATTTACCACATTAGATTTTAACAGTAAGAAATTTAAAATGTTATAATTCAGTAAAATAACATTGTAACTCATATATATTTACATTATCATAAATATTATGCTAAATGATGTTCTTTTGAGTAAGAAGAACCATATTTTCCAGAACCAAAATATTTAGACAACAGGACATTGTTTTATATTTTTATAAATCTTTTTTAATGTCTGGCTTACTAGAAACCAGTTGAATTTTTGTATCTGCATTCAACCTGTTGTTATAGTTTGTTTTGGCCAAAATATATTTTAAAAAATATGACCATATTCAAATATATAGTTGAAAAGGAGAATATTTTAATAACTATTTCAGATAATTATAGATATTCTTCTTTGATACTACATCAAAACTCAATTAACTTAAATGTTAGTAACAAAATGAAATATGAATTCACATCACTGAACTTCTCATTCTGTGTTTCACAACACCTAAAGGTCTCTCTTGTTCTTTGAATGGATCTTTTACCCATTTAAAATTTTACAACATCGTGTATTAATCATCTGGAAAGCACTGGTCCACTGAGTTGTGCTTACAAAGGCTGAGAAAGTTTTCTATACCTATCCAAAAAATTACATTCATAAATATCACCACTGATCTCATCAGAAATATTTCATAGTACTAGGAAAATTCCATCAACACCCATGGAAGCAGTATCAATCAAGAAATCAAACATATTCCATTGGGCAAATCTTCTGCAAAAGATCTCTCTCTGAAGTTTAAAAAGCACGGATATCACACATTAAGCACTAAGATGCATCTGACCCAAGCCATGGTATTCTCAATTACCTCATATGCATGTGAAAACTGAACAATGAATAAGGAAGACGACAGAAAAATTGATGTATTTGGACGCTGGTGTTGGTAATGAATATTGAATATACCATGGACTGCCAGAAGAACAAACAAATCTATCTTGGAAGAAGTACACCCAGAATATTCCTTAGAAGTGAGGATAGTGAGACTTTGTCTCACTTACTTTGGACATGTAGTAAGGAGGGACCAGTCCCTGGAGAAGGATAGCAAGCTTGATAAAGTAGGTCAGTGAAAAAGAAGATCCTCAGTGAGATGGATTGACACAGTGGCTGCAACTGTGGGCTCAAATAGCAATGATTATGAGGAAGGTGTAGGATCATGCAGTGTTTTGTTCTGATGTGCATGGGGCACTATGAGTTAGAACATTTTCGATGGCACCTAACAACAGGAAGCATCCAGGCTCATGGTGGTAGATAAAAATTCTTCAAAATTCTAATTTTCACTTGAAAGGCTGGATATTTTATCATTTGCAAGAAACACTCAGTTGTTTTTTTCCAAGTGAAAGGCTGAGTTAGTTCATTTTGAGAAAATGTGAAATACCCAAATATGAATAACCTGGGTTTGTGAGTTAGCTGTTCTTTTACATCAAAGGAGTGTTAAGTGAGGCTGGATAAACCTTGAAACTACTGCCCTGAGAAAATCTTTAAACCTTAAACTAAAAATATCACCTGAAGTCTTCTTTAAACCAAACAATTGTTGTTGTTGTTATGTGCTGTGGAGTCGGACCCGACTCATAGCGACCCCTCCTTGAGTTTCTGAGGTGGTATCACTACGGAAATAGATTGCTGAACCTTCGTTCCGAGGAGTGGCTGATGCATTTGAACCCCCAGCCTTCTGGTTAGCAGTCAAGTGCCTTAGGCACTATGCTACCAGAGCTCCTAAACCAAACAATATTTTAGCTTAATTAGTAAAAAATGTCTGCCTTGAGCACTGTGCTCTTTTAAATAACTAACTATGTGGGATCAAACTGACAACAGCAAGTAGAAGATTAGATAGGAAGTTTAGGGGGGGGTTGTTGTTGTTATTATGTGCTGTTGAGTTGGACTCGACCCATAGCGACCCCTCCTTGGGTTTCTGAGGCAGTATCACTATGGAAGTAGATTGAGCTTTATATGGAGGAAACAATTTGGAAAAGGAGAGTGAGAATGGTTGTACAACTTGAAGAATGTAATCAATATCACTGAATTGTACATGTAGAAATTATGGAATTGGTGTGAGCTCTGCTATGTATCAATAACAAAAATAAATTATTTTAAAAAGGGTGTCCTTTGAGAAAAGTAGCTAGTTTACCTCATAACTCAAACAGTCCCACAAGTGTTTGTCCTTGAAACAGCCATTATATTTCAGTATGTAGCAAAAGTAATTTCTGCACACTTACCAATTTGTCACACAGAATACTAAAAAGACATGTACTCAAGGATTGAGACTTAATAAAATTAATTATTTTTACTACTTCATCCATGATATTCTTAAATGAAATTGGCATTTTTTCTCCCTTAACTTTTGGGTGCATGGCAGCAAATACTACTAGTTGAGTTTGGTGCCACTGTCTTAATTTATACTATGGTACCAGCCATTTTATTCTATTGTTTTACACCATCAGTGCAAAGACAGCACAGTGAAAAAGGCAAAGAATGTATTAATAAAACTGTGGAATTAGCTTTAACCTTGAAGACCTCCTGCGAGATCCCTCCACCTGGGACCATGTTATGGGTTTGAACTGTGTCCCCCTAAAATAGGTGTTGAAATCATGAACACTATACTTGTGGATGTAATCCTATTTGGAAATAGGATCTTCTCTGCTATGTTAATGAGATTTTATCAGTGCAGGGTGTATCTTAAAACTAACCACTGCTGAGTAATATAAGGAGCAGAATGGACAGAAGCAAGCAAGCAAACACAGGGGGAAGACAGACACTACTTGAAGATGGTGGAGGTAGACTAGTCTACAATACAAGCCCAGGAACTCCAAAGACTGCCAGCTACTAGAAGCTGAAATAGACAAGGCAGTACTTTCCCCTTAGAGCCAAACACTAAGTTCACATTACTAGCCTTCTGAACTGTGAGAAAATAAATTTCTGTTTTTGAAAGCCACCCACTTACGGTATTTTTGTTACAGCAGCACCTGATAACAGACAGACCCATGGGTATATCTGGACTGAATCCATGTGTATATTTGGATTGTTGTTAGACAGTGGTGATTGACTTCAAGGAGTTCACAGTCTAGTAGGGAAGGATATACAATATAGCAGTGCTGTAAAAAGTCTCTATATTTACTCCACAGCACAATTAGTCGCTTCATTCTCATCCTCCCATAGTACACAACTCATACTTCCATTGGCAGTTATCTTACTGTGTTAAAAACTACTGTGTGTTCCCTTATTCCACTTTGTATTCCCAAAATCCTAACACAGAGCCAGGAATATAGTAGGTGTTCAATAATTTTTTGCTTAAAAAATAATTGTGTAGGAATGTTCACAGCAGCATTATTCAAAACAGGCAAGAACTGGGAATAACTCCAAATGCCCATTGTCTGATAAGTTTATGCAAAATGTTAAGTATATCTATACAATGGAATATTATTCCACAATAAAAAAGAATGAAGTACTTATACATGCTACAACATGGATTAACTTGGAAAACACTGTGTTAAGTGAAAGAAGCCAGACACAAAAGACCATATATCATATGATTCCATTTATAAGAAATGTCAGAATACACAAATATATAGTTAAAAGGTAGATTAGTGGTTATTTAAGGCTGGAGAAGATGGGGATTAGAAGGTGATATAGAGTTTATTTTTTGGTGATAAATGTATTCTAAAATTGCTTTATGAATTGTATCTCATAAAGCTGTTACCAAAATAAGATCATTAAAAGTTATTTATGGTAGAGCAGGAAGGAATAATAAATGTGCAGAGTCTAACAGAGGAACTAATGGGACTGGGCCACAGTGAAGCTCAACAAGCAAAGCAAAGATGCCAAGTAGTGTAGGAGCCATAGCAGAGGAACTTAAAGGGATGCAGAAACTAAAAAGAGAGGATTTCTTCTGATGTTAGCTGCATCTTCTTGTAGAGTGATCACTTAGAAAATGTGAAGATGAGTCAGGTTATAACAAGGCCACTAACTGGGTGAAGAGAAGAGAGAGAAAGGAGACATAGAAAGAGATGGCCCTAAAGAAAAGATCAACCAAATGGAAATATATAAAACCAAAAAGGAAAACAATGAAAATCCTCACCAAGGCAGTGGCTGCCCTACTATTCACCTTCTGTATAAGAAACTCCATCTCACCTTGTATTCATCCAGCCAGACGTGGGCCAGTCGCAGGGAATTGTGGGTCATGGTGTCCTGCCCTTCAGGAGACCCATATGGGCGCCTTTTCCGGAAAATGTGTCCTACTCTAGAGCAAGGAATGATGAAGAGCTTACCTCCACACATCCAGATCTGGTCAGAAGTAAAATATGAATTAATCGTTGCCTCATTACTATGAAATCAATGTTATGAATTTTCCTGAAATTAATATTTACTGTATAGGTGTTTCTGAAACATTGTAGAGATGTTTTATATTATCATATATAAATATTCAAACAGAAGTGAAATAGGACCAAATGTGGGTTCCTGCCCGGTGTGCGGTCAGGCCAAAACAGTTTACACACCAAGTGATTAAGAGGAGAGAAAATTATTTACTGCAAAGTGGCAAGGAGACAGGGGTCTTTTTACCCAAATCTGACTCCCCGAATCTAAATCGAATTACAGTTTTTGTAAGTTTCAGGAGAGAGGGTTATGCATATTCATAAAAATTTCAGGAATCTGGGCATGAGATAGTTGATGATTGGCTGAAATTTCCTTCACCTCAGTTTAAAGGGACAGTTGTTTTTTAATGCAGTGCACTTGCACACCAGATGAGTCACATTGGATTCCTGTCATCAGCTGATCGGGGCTTAGGCAGAGGGGAGAACGTCAGTTCCCAGCAACTTCAGTCCTGCCTGCTCCAACACACATGCACATGGGCCAAAGTTAATTTTCAAGTTGTTTCCTAAGACACATTAACGTGTTTATCACCTGTTTCTAGGGGAATAGCAGTAAAGAATGTGCAAATTGGCTTTTCATTCCATTCAGTTCTTAAGGAACTGAGCTTACTGTGTTTACTCATCTGTCTCCAACCAAGGTCCTATTTGTCTTAACCAGTGTGGGGAAATAGTTGAGAGTAATTATGTTTAGTTAGTTATTTTCAACTGGGGTCCTATAACCAGGGTGGGGGAAATAGTTGAGTTTTGACTTTACTCGGTTTCAGAAGGAAGTCAGAGGGTAACTTAAAAAAAAAAATATTGGTCTTCATGAATAAAAATAAATTAGATTCTAAAAATATGTTAATATTCATTTACCACCATGTGTTTAAAATTGCACCTACCATACTTAGGCATTTTAACAGGTCAACGTAACATGATATGCTTGCTCATCAGTCCTCTAATTTCAGTTGCATAGGTACATTCTTTTATAATGCTTATATACTTTTTTTAAAAACAATTTTTTAAAATAGGCAGAAATGACTCTGGATTATGATTCAAAAGATCTTAATTCTCATCTAATATTTGCCCTTGTCTATCATCTAGATTACATTACACAAACTATTTTACTTTTTGTGGGATTCAGTTATATTTCCTAGAAAATGAACACATTGAACTAATAACTTCTGCCTCTCAATTTTAAAATTCTAAAGTTTATATAGGGAAAAACTGCCTTCTAAGAACATGGTGATCAAACATTTTCAAAAATGCAACACAACATATTTATTAGGTCTTGTGTGCTGACTCCACCAGGAGATGGGAGGGCAGGAAATGGGGTATTTGCTAGGAAAGGGAGGACTTAGTTCTTTCCTTTGCCTCATTTTAGCCTTTTCTAAAGACTGTCACAACACCACAGTTCCCTGAGCCACAAATCCCACTCATACTCTCATCTTTTCCACCTTCAGGAATTACGAGGAAAGATTATGAAAGTTTAATCTTTTCCACCTTACGGAATTAAGCATAGGTTATGAAAGCTTAATTTTCCACTCAGGTGAGAGGCAACTATAGATATAGAGGATTTAGTAAGTTATATATCATGTGACAATTTATTAGGATACTTCTGACACTGAAATGGGAGCTAATAACTTTCCAGGAGAACAGTTGTGAACCAAGACTGCCTGAGGCAAAAAGGGAACTCTGATCAGCCTGACTATAAATATGTAGTAGTATTTAGAGAATTATTAGTAAACGGACAGAGAAATAACAAAACTCCAGATTAAATTTAAATTAAGATTTCCTGAATCACAAACATTTATTATATGCATATCTTTTAAATTCTTATAAAGTAAACACATATTTTTTTTGTATGTTTTAGATATTTTGAATGGGTGTTATCCAAAGCATAGACTATGATAAACAGGCATTCATTAAAGACTGTTTATCAATAAAGATAATCAAGGAAAGTTTATTGAAAACATAGGATTGTGGATGGAAATTATATCCCACTACTCAAAAAGTTAATATATAAGCATACAAAAATATAAAATTACCCTAAATGATATTTCCAAATTTTCTCCTCCCCAGATATCCATGCCACTGTCATACTGTCCTAATTCATTGAAATAGTGTCTATTCATGGCAAACAATCCTCCAGCCATTGTCGGTGACCTAGGAAAAGAAAATAATGACTGTAACAATTCTATCAGTTATTTTATCTATTGTTTTCATTTTTAAAAATTCAGTGCGCCTTTGGAATATTAAAAATAAAAACTACATTAACTATTATATATATATTATAATAGATAAAATATATTTTATCCAATATTATCAGCTGGGTCATAATTCATTTTTCTATATCGTAAATGATATGTGCTGTATTGAACACCAATGACCAAAGATCTGATGAGTAGTGGGATGGTATCAAGGATATCATACAGAAAGAAAGTAAAAAGATCACTAAAAGTACAAGAAAGGAAGAAAAGACCATAATGGATGTCAGAAGAGACTCTGAAACTGGCTCCTGAATGGAGAGAAGCTAAAGTGAATGGAAAAAGTGATGAAAAAACAGATGAATGGAAGATTTCAAAGAGCGCTCAACAAGGCAAAGTAAAGTGTTATAATGAAATGTAAAGGGACTTGGATTTAGAAAACCAAAAGTGAAGAACATTCTTGACATTTCTAAGCTGAAATAACTGAAGAAAAAACTCAAGGATTCTATGGGCAAAATGTTGGATGATGTAGGAAACATCAAAGAAGATGGCAGGAATATACAGAGTCACTGAATCAAAAAGAATTGATTGACGTCCAACCATTTTAGGAGATTGTTGTTATTTGCCGTTGAGTCGGACTCGACTCATAGCGACCCCTTCTTAGGTTTCTGAGGTGGTATCACTACAGGAGTAGATTGCCCAACCTCTTTCCAAGGAGTGGCTGGTGGGTTTGAACCGCCAGCCTTCTGGTTAGCAGTCAAGCACCTTAGGTACTATGCTATCAGAGCTCTCTTTTAGGAGGTAGCATAAAGAACTGGTGGTACTGAAGGAAGAAATCTAAACTGCATTGAAAGAATGGTGAAAAACAAAGCTCCAGGAATTGACAAAATACCCACTGAGATATCTCAACAAACACGTAGAGCTAGAGGCACTCACTCAGTTACACCAAGAAATTAGGAAGATAGCTACTTGTCCAACTGACTAGAACCCATTCTAAAAAAAGGTGATCCAACAGAATACAGAAATTATTGAACAATATCATTAATATCACATGGAACTAAAATTTTGAAGATAATTCAATAACAGTTACAGCAGAATATTGACAGGAAATGGCCAGAAATTCAGAAGTGGGTGTGGAATGATGGATATAATTTCTGATGTCAGATCGATCTTGGCTGAAAACGAAGAACATCAAAAAGGTGTTTATCTGTGTATTATTCACTATGCAAAGACATTCAACTCTGTAGATCATAACAAATTTTGGATAACATTGCAAGGAATGAGAATTCCAGAATACTTAACCGTGTTCATGAGGAACCTGTACATAGACTAAGAGGCAGTCATTCAAACAGAACAAGGAGATACTATGTGATTTAAAATCAGGAAAGGTGTCTATCAGAAATGTATCATTTCACCATACTTATTTAATTTGTTTGCTAAGCAAATAATCAGAGAAGCCAGAATATATGAAAAAGAACATGGCATCAGGAATGGAGGAAGATTCAGTAACAACCTGTAACACTCGGATGACCCAACCTTCCTTGCTGAAAGTGAAGAGGACTTGAAGGACTTACTGATGAAAATCAAAGACAGCCTTAGAATGGAAGACTAAAGAATTAAGAATTAAGTTCTTTAGTCATGTTGTCAGAAGGACCAGTCACTGGAGAACAATATCATGCTCGATAAAGTAGAGGATCAGAGAAAAAGATGTATTGACACAGGAACTGCCACAGTGAGCTCAAGCATAGCGAAGATTCTGAGGATGGTGCAGGACCAGAAAATGTTTCGTTTTGTTGTACAGGGTCGCTATGAATCACACCAACTTGATGGCACCTGACAGTAACACCACTACTCATCTGTCAGTTTGTCTTACTGTGGTGGCTTATGTGTTGCTGTGAGGCTGGAGGCTATGCCAGCAGGGTCACACCGGATTTCAGCGGAGCTTCCAGACTAAAACAGACTTGGAAGAAGGAAAGGGCCATCCACTTCTCAAAGAATTGGCCAGCAAAAATCTTATGAATAGCAGTGAAATACTGTCTGATATATTACTGGAAAACTTTATGAATATCCTTGAAACATAGTCTGATATAGTGCTGGAAGATAAGCCCGTCAGGTCAGAAGGCATTCAAAATATGACTGGGGAAGAGCTATCTCCTGAGTAGAACCAACCTTAATGATGTGGATGGAGTAAAGCTTTTGTGATCTCCATTTGCTGACGGGAATGACTCAAAATGAGAAGAAACAGCTGCAAACATCCATTAATAATTGGAACACGGGATGTACAAAGTATGAATCTAGGAAAATTGGAAGTTGTCAAAAATGAAATGGAAAGCATAAAGATCAATATCCTAAGCATTAGTGAGCTGAAATGGACTGGTTCTGGCCATTCAGAATCAGACAATCATATGATCTACTATGCCGGGAATGATAAATTGAAGAGGAACGGCATAACATTCATCACAAAGAATGTTTCAAGATCTATCCTGAAGTACAATGCTGTGAGTGATAGGATAATATCTATACGCCTAGGGGGAGATCAGTTAATACTATTATTAGAATTTACGTACCAACCACCAAAACCAAAGATGAGGAAACCAAAGAATTTTATCAACTTCTGCAGTCTGAAATTGATCAAACACGCAATAAAGATGTGTTGATTATTACTGGTGACTGGAATGCAAAAGTTAGAAACAAAGAGGAATTACTGGTAGTTGGAAAATAAAGCCTTAGTGATAGAAATAATGCTGGAGAGTGCATGATAAAATTTTGCAAGACCAATGACTTACTCATTGCAAATACCTTTTTTCAATAACACAAATGACAGCTATAAACATAGACTTCACCACATGGAGTACACAGGAATCAGATGTGGAAAGAAGCAATGGAGAAGCTCAATATCTTCAGCAAAAACAAGGCCAGAAACTGTGGAACAAACCATCTACTGCAAGTTCAAGTTGAAGCTGAAGACAATTAAAACAAGTCCCCAAGAACCAAAATATGACCTTGATAATATTTCTCCTGAATTTAGAGACCACCTAAAGAATAGTGATGCATTGAACACTAGTGACTGAAAACTAGAGAAATTGTGGGATGACATCAAAAACATCATCCATGAAGAAAGCAAAAGGTCATGTAAAAGACAGGAAAGGATGAAAAGACCAAAATGGATGTCAGAAGAGACTATGAAACTTGCCCTAGAATGGTGAATAGCTAAAGGAAATAGAAGAAATGACAAGATAAAAGAGCTGAACAGAAGGTTGCAAAGAACAGCTCAAGAACACAAAGTTAATTATGTGTGACAAATATGTGTCAATTATGTCAAGGAAATGTGCAAAGACCTGGAGTGAGAAAACCAAAAGGACAGAACACACTGGACATTTCTCAAGCTGAAAGAACTGAAGAAAAAATTCAAGCCTCGAGTTGCAATATTGAAAGATTCTATGGGCAAAATATTGAAAAATGCAGGAAACATCAAAAGAAGATGGAAAGAATACAGAGTCACTGTACCAACAGAACTGGTCAATTCATCCATTTCAGGAAGTGGCATATGATCAAGAACCAGTGGTATTGAAGAAAGAGGTCGAAGCTGCACTGAAGGACCTGGCAAAGAATAAGGCTCCAGGAATTGACAGAATACCCACTGAGATGTTTCAACAAATGGATGCTATGTTCGAGGCACTCACTTGTCTATGCCAAGAAATTTGGAAGACAGCTACCTGGCCAACTGACTGGAAGAGATCCATATTTGTACCCATTCCAAAGAAAGCTGA